TTCATCCTGTTCCCTACTTGTATGTCTCATAACAATAAAAATGCTTTCAAATGAGCTGATGTAGGTAACAGCTCTTAGCTTGCCAATAAAGTTAGGAATCATTAACCTGTAAATAGCTTGTCAATAAAGCTAGGGATCCTTAACCTTGTCAGACCCTGTGTAAAAAAAAAAAAAAGAGTTAGTGAGTGAGTGAGAGGGTTAGTGGGTGATTGAGAGGGTTAGTGAGTGAGTGAGAGGGTTAGTGAGTGACAGTATTAACAAGGAATATGAAAAATTTACATCTATCCTCCCTCATCCATCTACCTTCCCTCATCCACTTGATTCTAGTCTACCATCTACCCTCCCTCATCCACCCTATCTTCAGCTGCAATGAAATACAGGGTGTTATGAAAATGCTGTATATAAAGGAAGAGGGAGATAGGAGCAGAGAGGAAGATGAAAGATAGAGTGGGGGAGAAGAGAGAGAGAAGAGAGGAGAGAGGGAGGGGAGAGGAGAGAATGGGGAGTTGAGAGAAATAAAGAGGAGAGAATGAGAAAGGAGAGCTAAGAATAAAGATGGAAGAAAGACAGGGGAAAAGAAAGAGAGGGGAGAAAGAAGAGCTGAGAATATTAGAGGAGAGAAAGAAAGGGGAAAATGAGAAAAAGGGGAGCTGAGATAAAGAGGAGAGAAAGATAGTGGATGAGAAGAGAAAGGAGAGTTGAGAGAAATTAAGAGGAGAGAAAGAATGGAAAAGGAGAGGAAGGAAGCTGAGAGAAATCAAAAGGAGAGGATAGAAAGAGAGGGGAAGAGGAGAGAAATAACAAGAGTGGGGAGGTGGGGATGTATTACCCCCACTTACACACATGTGGAGGTTGATACATCCCTCACATTTTCGTGTTATTAATTTACAAGTCTCGCTCCACTCTTTTCCACCACTAGTTTCTCCCCCCCCCCCCCTCTCTCTCTCTCTCACTCTCTCTCTCTCCTCTCTCTCTCTCTCTCTCTCCTCTCTCTCTCTCTCTCTCTCCTCTCTCTCTCTCTCCTCCTCTCTCCTCTCCTCTCTCTCTCTCTCTCTCTCTCTCTCCTCTCTCTCTCCTCTCTCCTCTCTCTCTCTCTCCTCTCTCTCTCTCCCTCTCTCCTCTCTCTCTCTCTCTCTCTCTCTCTCTCTCTCTCTCTCTCTCTCTCTCCCTCTCTCTCTCTCTCTCTCTCTCTCCTCCTCTCTCTCTCTCCTCTCTCTCTCTCCTCTCTCTCTCTCTCCTCTCTCTCTCTCCCCCCCCTTCCCTTCTGTTCCCTCCCCTCCCTCCCTCCTGCCCTTCTTCCTCCTGTATGTATGTATGTACATACATTGCATACATACACACACACACACACACACACACACACACACATATGTATGTACATACAAACATACATTCATAAATGTAAACATTTACAAACATACATATACCCCTTGCATTCATATACACATGCAGACATACAATACATACCCACAAACATACATTTGCACACATATTCATATGCACACTTTTGTAAGTGTAGAAACGTGTACAGATGCTGCCTGCCAGAAAAGCTCTTGGTCCAGGGAATTGGAGCTTTTTTTTACTTGCCCTTGAATCACACACACCATATTGCCCGCCATTCTCCAGGTGCTGTATGATCCCTACCGGGTTTGGCGCTCTCCCATCAATACAAGACTGCATGCTTATACAGTACTATATACATGATAACAAGTGGACTCAGATTAAGTTATAATAAACAATTGTCAATGAATAAGCAGAAGGGTGGATGAGGGGCTTGAACTGAGGTCTGCAAATTGAGTCGGTTGAGCGTTGGACTGTCAGTTTGCAGACCGAGGTTCGAGCCCCTCGTCCACCCTTCTATTTTTTCATTATTACAAGTTGTTAATGAAAACATTTCAATTTTTTAAACACACCGTATATATAAGCAATCAGTTAGTAATTACCTTATTTGTCATAAGATAGGCTGAAGTTTGCCTGAAATACACTACTTACTAAACAAACAAAGTGTGTTAGGCACAAAGAAAGCCACTAGCATGCATGTGCGTTTCCGGCTGACTAAACGTAATCCTTACAGACTAAAGATTAGACATCTCTGTACAAACATTCTGTCATGCTGAAATAAAAAATCTAAATCTGAATCTCCCACTGAGGCAAGGTAACCTGAGAAGAAACAAAAGTGTTTCTTTTTATATTTAGTAATTTATTCAGGAGAAGGGGGTTACTAGTGCCTTGTTCCCGGCATTTTAGTCACCTCTTACTTTGTGTATGGTTTACGGAGGAAAAGTTTTTAATCTGCTGCATTAGATGAACATGGAGCAGTGGGAGCATCTGAATTAGTATATAACTGATTGCAACATGAATGTGTTTTGTTTGAGTTACTGAATCTTGTTGGGATAAAACAGTTAAATGAAAAGAAAAAAAAGTTTTGTTTGCATGAGTGGGCATCTACTACAGTACTATCCTTATGATTGGGCATCTACTACTATCTTTATGAGTGCTCATCTAATACTACTACAGGTCGGCCATCACTAATCCGGCTAAACAGTTATCCAGTTCCATCAGTAATCCGGCACTAATTTCGGCTAGCACATTTTCAGATTTCGTCATTATACTGGCTCAATTCATTATAGAAACTCATTATACTGACTCAGAAATTGTGCAGATGGTTGTAAATTCACAGGAGAAAGCAGTGATGAAAATGAGGAAAATAGCAGAAAGAATCTCTATTGACAGGTCAATTAAGTGCATTCTAACCCAGCCACTCTGTAATCCGGCAAACTCACTAATCCGGCACACCACAGGTCCCAGTGATGCCAGATTAGTGATGGCTGGCCTGTACTGTCCTTATAAGTGGGCATCTACTACTATTATCCTTATAAGAAATACTGAAGGGGAACTATGATAAGGACATAATATAAATCAGTGACACAATGTCTGCTTTATATAGGCTAAAAAAGCAAAGCAAACTGTATAAGGTTGTTATGGCTATCTTCATTCTTAGACAGCTGAATGTAAGTTCTGGAGATGAATAGTGTTAACATAAGTGGAATGAGCAGTGTCTGCACTCTGTAACATAGGTAGAATGAGTAGTGTCTTCACTGTAAGATAAGTGGGATGAGTGGTGTCTGCACTTTGTAAGATAGGTGGGATGAGTAATGTCTTCACTTTGTAAGATAGGTGGGATGAGTAATGTCTTCACTTTGTAAGATAGATGGGATGAGTAGTGTCTGCACTTTGCAAGATAGGTGGGTTGAGAAGTAGTTCCTGCACTCTGCAGGATAGGTGGGTTGAGAAGTAGTTCCTGCACTCTGTAAGATAGGTGGGATGTTAGTAGGGTTATTGGATTTGTGATTCTACACACTTTTGATAAGACATCCATTGAATGATTGATGGGAAAAATGTTTTTTCTTTGGGTCACTCTACCTTGGTGGGATTTGACCAATGTGGTAAAGAACAAAACATTGAAGATTATGATGATGTAGAGAAGATAACCAAACAAGCAACTGAACAGAAAGATATAGATACAGCATAAATTTAACTCTTATCTATGAGGCAAATTAAACAATGAATACCATCGTTACATTGAAATGCTTTAGAAAAACACTGGAATGAGTCCTCACGTCTTGTTGAAAAACAGATCACTGGTAATGATATATGTAATTATAAAGAATAGAATAGTTCAATAAGTTAAGAACAAACCACGGAATGGGTGAGGTTTGAACCCATAGCAAGTGAGTTGTAAAACTCCAGGCCAATGCATAAGCCACTGGGCCAGCTGGCTACAAAAAAGATTCATCTGCCCATTCTGTGATTGGTTTGCAGTTGTGTTATTATGATTTCATGAGTCAAGTTAAGAACAAATAATTCTGTTAGGCTGTGTCTTGGACACAAATATTGTACTATAGTACATTTGAAAATTTGCTGACTACAGTGACCATTTTCATGCACAATCTAAACTATGAACAGCCTAATTCACAAGGCATGAATGCACTATATATTAGAATGTGGCTAAAGTTTGCCTTTGGTACTCTGACTATAAAACTATAAAAACAAATTCCTCCCTAATTCAGTTTTCATTTTTGTCAGTTTTTAACTGACATTTAATATCATTAGAGATGTACCCAACTTTGCATTTAAATGAATAAATTTTAATAGTTTGTATGTTTTTGTATTCATGTTATTAAGGTCTGTTTGTAATACTATCAACATTTACTTCAGAACATGTAAAGTCCTTAAGGCATTATCTATAACTATAAAGTAACTATTAAGTGGGCATTTTAAAATCTTACTAATGACCCTTCAAGTAACATTGCTCATAGGGTCATTGTAAAATGTAATGTCCGTGGTTTGTCCGACACTGCAGGCAGGTACAGTAATATCTTGATGCCTTTCCTTATGGGCACTTGTATCACGTGTTCTAATACAGTGCAGTGGTGTGAAAATAGTTTTATTGTCTTTAACTAGTTGTTATGCTTTATGTAATAATCTCTTATTTTTCATTATATTTACTCTATATTTCTTATTTTTTGGGGTAAGTTATTAATCTTACTTTTGTTTTATGTTCCTTTAGTATGCTTATTTATAGAGTATATCTCTAATTAAATCCTTCATGTATTTCATCATGCCATAATAGATAGATTTCCAAACATCTTTGGGTATGGAATGTTTCTTTTCAAATTTCAGAGGGCAAGGGCCCCCCCTAAAGACATTATGCCATTTCTTGATTGAGTTATAATCCTTGTAGTGTTATTGACTCATTATCCAGATGAAAAGGTAATAATAAAAACAAAAATTAACAAGGCTGGACAGTATATATATATAAATACTGTACATATATTTTATTAAAAATCTAAGCCATTCGTACCTTTTGAACCATTATTGGAGTGTTAACATGTATGTGTAAGTAAATTTTATGTACCAAGTAACATATCACATATAACTCGATTACTGTTAGGAATTTAATGTTTTTAACATTGAGTGAGACTTAATTTTCTCTCTAGGCCAACCCGTGCCAGCACCCCATTGTTATCCTAAAAGATGTGGGTCATGTAGAGTTGGAGAGACTATTAGAATTTATGTACAATGGTGAAGTGAGCATAGCGCAAGATCAACTGGCAGCCTTCTTGAAGACTGCGGAAAACCTCAAGATCCGGGGACTAGCCGGTTCCTCGGATGATATGGATCAGACTGGGGTGAGTTTTATCTAATTGCATTAGAAAAATGGATCAGCCTTCTTAATTACAAGAAGGCTGTTCAATTTTTATTTTGATCATTGATTTAGTCAAGTCATAATGCCATGGCTGGAGCAGTTTGCAATTAAAACATAATTTGGAGAGGAAACTATGCAACATTTTGTTCCATCCTGAACCAAAATAGAGAGAATAGTCCAAGATGAACAAATACAGCATCTTAAATTTCCTCTCCCAATTGTGGATTTGTTGTGAACTGATTATAGTATACGTACATGTATAAGAGAGTAGCATAAAACAGTGTTGTTATTTAGGCTTTGCTTTAATTACAATTACTCATGTACAGCATCCTGAATAAAGATTATACCATTGCTGGCTACATTTTCATTGTTTAAATTATGAATTGAAAGCTTATTCTTGGATAGATATAAAATAAGAAACTTCTAAAATATAAAGGAAGATATACATAACACAGTATTATTGGACCTATAGGAAAGTAGAATCATTAATTTTAAGCTTTCCCTGGAAATATTACCATGGGGCAGCCATTGACATTATTCATTTTTCCCATTGACTGTTCTTTTCTTTGGGTATCCTTGCACATTTTTCTTATTTTTTTTTTACATTTTCAGGTTACTTTACTTTTATACACTTACTTGTATGTTCTTGATGTGGGAAGTTGTCTTGTTTTTACACAGGTCTTGTTTCCTTGTGCAAACAGTGCTTCACATTTATGGTAGACAAACTAGAATGCAGACTGGTAAGCCAGCAGTGTCCTTGCCATGAGCAGTCATAGAGCCAGTGACTACCACATTCGCATGTGCCTATAGCATTGCATGCTAGCTCATTGCTTCTTGCCACACACTTTCTGTAGGGCCAACAACATCACTGAATGGGTAATCATGTCTTGTGATGTTTCTTGAGGAATATAACAGCAGCAGCAGCACGAGAAATTATTTATTACTATATGTTTCAGGTATTCTCTTTAATATGTTAAAAGATTTGTATAGGAGCACATAAGTGTTTGCCAAAGACTTGCATGCTAATTTTGCTATTGTAAAAGTGAAGCTGTTGTCACTTGCTTACAGAAACAAAACTGTGAAATTAATGAGTTCCACCCTCTGCAAGCACATACCAAAGTCCTTTTCTGATTTCAAATACGTATTATTTTTATATGAAAAAAAAAAAAGGGGCAATGAATATGAAAAAGCAGTTTTCTGTATATGATAGCTGAATTAATAGTTTTTATACAGCTTTACAGTTGTTTAATTTATGTAACCTCAACATATGCACCTCTAATGGCCTATAACACATTTATTTGATACTCCAGTTCATTCCATTTATTAGTCAGCATATCTGGTGTGATTTTTCTGATGCCTTCATTTATTCTAGCATAGAGAATGTTACCTCACATACTGGTATCTGGAAAAATAATCATTCACAAACCCCTAAAAGTTTAAAGGGCTGTTTAATGGGGCCATGAAGTCAAATTCATCTGCTGGAAAATTTCTAGTTATGATAATTATTTTATTGTATGCAGCAATTTGCCTTTTCATATCTTCTATCACATTGAAATAAATTTTTGTGATTAACCTTTTAACCATGTCCAACATTCTAGTACACAAGAGATGATTTATGCCCGACGTACTAGTACGTGTATTTTTTCTGTGGCTTCAAAAAACACATCTGCTAATATTTTTGACCTCTGTACAATTTTTGGATCTCCAACAACCTCTTCATGCCTTTGAAAAAATCTTAAGATCAGATGGCTCCTAATAATGCATCATGGGTAACACTGCCTAACTAGCTTAAGTAATGAAACCAGGAGCTGTCGTTCCACCACCAGCAACCAGGGTGTGGAACTGGTGGGAAGATGGCTTATTCATTCCAAATTTATTACAGTATCATGATACTAGTAGTGGAATTCAGAAAAAAGGACACTATATAAATTTAACCCAGGATAATCCAAAATAGTGAAAAAAGTGACTTATTTCTATATTTCGATAAGTATTACACCTTGAAACAATTGTAATATCATAAGGGTTTCCTTGTAAATGCACATTTTCCAGTGGTTTTGAAGGCTTATAGGTACTATGGACACAAAAATTGCACAATGTGTATAACCTACGATATTCCCTCAAAATCTAAATATTCTTCTTTGTTTTTTCAACAAACCAGTCATATCCCACCAAGGCAGGTGGCCCAAAAAGAAAAACGAAAGTTCCTCTTCTTAATCTTAGTAATGTACACAGGATAAGGGGTTACTGCCCCTTTGATCCTGGCATGTTAGTTGCTTCTTATGACACGTATGACTTATGAAGGAAGAATTCTATTTTGCTTCCCCATGGAGATAAGAGGAAATAAACAAGAACAAGAACCAGTAAGAAAATAGAAGCAAACCCAGAGGGGTGTGTGTATATATATGCATGTACATGCAAGTATAGTGTGACCTAAGTTTAAGTAGAAGTAGCAAGATGTACCTGAAATCTTGCATGTTTTCAATCTTTCAACAAACTGGCCGTATCCCACCGAGGCAGGATGGCCCAAAAAGCAAAACAAAAGTTTCTCTTTTTAAATTTAGTAATTTATACAGGAGAAAGGGCTACTAGCCCCTTGCTCCCGGCATTTTAGTCACCTCTTACAACACGCATGGCTTACGGAGGAAGAGTTCTGTTCCACTTCCCCATGGAGATAAGAGGAAATAAACAAGAATAAGAACTAGAAAGAAAATAGAAGAAAACCCAGAGGGGTGTGTATATGTATACTTGTACATGTATGTGTAGTGTGACCTAAGTGTAGGTAGAAGTAGCAAGACGTACCTGAAATCTTGCATGTTTATGAGACATAAGAAAGACATCAGCAATCCTACCATGTAAAACAATTTCAGGCTTCTGTTTTACACTCACTTGGCAGGACAGTAGTACCTCCCAGGGCAGTTACTGTCTACCAACCTACTACCTTCATCGAACCTAAATATATAACATAATAATGAACATAGGATAGTCAAACAGTGTGACTTATTTCCAGGCTTTGAGGAGTATTACATCTTGAAATATCTGCAGTATCATAAATATTCCTTGTACATAGTGTTACAAAACCAAAGCAGTAAAAATAAATAAATAAAAAGCAGTTATTTGCACCAATTTATACTGTATATTCCAGGTGGAGCAAAGTTGGGTTAAATATTTCCCCGTGTTTGAAGTGCTAAAACACTTTGAAACACATCTTTCATCATAAGAAGCTTATGTACATAGTGTTAATATTAAAAAATGGAAAACAGCCATAATATGGCATCAGTGCCTGACTCTGAATGGGGTGGAGATATGTTGCAGTTTTTGAACTGTAATATCGGCACGCCTTTGGCAAGACAGTGATGGAGTGAGTGATGATGAAGGTGTTTCTTCTTTTTCGGGTAACCCTGCCTTGGTGGGAAACAGCTGATGTGTTAAAAAAAAAAAAATGCAAAATGTAAAGATGGCTGGCACATTTGCTCTGCTGTTGCCAATGAATGATTTATGTTTTTGCCAACTTCAACTCACCAGAAAATTGTAAGTTTTTATCAGTTTCCACTCATTTTAGTCTTATTTGATTCATGAAAATGCACTCTTTCAATCTGTAAATTTCTTATTTTAAAAATTTTGCTACACAACAAGAAATTTAATTTCAAGGTGTGCCATAATTAAGGTATTAAAGGACTTTGTGAACACACTGTTCAGGGAAGAAATTGAAAGGCTAGAGAGATGAAAGTAATTGAACAAAAGAATGATAAAGAATGTAAAAAACTTCTTTATAATTAAAAGAGCTTAGTGGCAGTGGAGAAAACAAAGTGGAGCACAAAAAGGGCATTTTAGTGTAACCAAATAAAGCATATCAACAGTTATGTTTATAGAGAACCATACATGCAATATAAGGTCTTCCTGTGTAGGAAAACTTAAAATGAGGACTTCGTATGAAAGCTTAACTGAGACCCTGTGTATGCTAGATTGGCAAAATACTGATTAATGTATTTGTGATTAATAGGGAATATTCCTTTAAAAAAAATTCCGTACCCAATAGAAGTAACACCATTCCAAAAAAAAAAAAAAATTGCCACCCAGATTTTTGACATTACTGGACCATTTTTCTTTTTGTATGGTCTGCCCTTTCAGCAATGACTGTATCAGTGTTTGCTAGATTTCAAAAAGTCTAAAGTGTTTTATTGCAACATAAGAATTAGTAATTTTTTTCCTGTGTTATGCTGTATCATAGGAATGCCAGCATACATAAGGACCCAAATTAAAAGAAGCCCCAGTTTTAAAAGTAGAATTAAAAGGGAAAAAACCCACATTACTTAAGGCTCATTTAACAATAAGTAAGGCACTATAGGAAGCATTTTTGTTCAAAATTTTTCCTGTTTTCAACAGTTGCACAGACCAGATGTGTCATATAGTTATAGCAGTGGTTCTGCAATTGGAGGGGTGACTTCAGGGCGGAGTAGCCCCTCTGCTGGTTATGCCCCAAGCCAAGGATCCAAGGACGAAGAGATAATTGCCGAGGGTAGTGGAAGCTATCACTCGAGACCGGAATCCCCGCCAAGCAAAAGACGGAAACGAACAAGTGCCCCTGCTGCTGGCCATGCCGACTCAAACACTGCTAGTCACACCACAGGTATAGAAATATGCCCATTTGTGTCACTGTATGAATGGTTGAGATCAAAATTGTAATTATCCTGTCATGTGAGTATGAAACAGAAGCCTGTTGAATATCTGGCAGGATTGTTGATCTTTTCTTTCTGTCTAATATACAGTGGACCCCCGGTTAACGATATTTTTTCACTCCAGAAGTATGTTCAGGTGCCAGTACTGACCGAATTTTTTCCCATAAGGAATATTGTGAAGTAGATTAGTCCATTTCAGACCCCCAAACATAAACGTACAAACGCACTTACATAAATACACTTACATAATTGGTCACATTCGGAGGTGATCGTTATGCGGGGGTCCACTGTACATGTAAGATAAGAGGTAAATCTTGCGGGATAGATTTAAGAATTCAGTGCTAGAGTCCACAGCAAAAGTTTATAGGTATAAGAGAGTGGATGGGTGCAGTTGGGAAGAGGAGTGAGTGGTGGAATGAAGAGGTACAGAGGGGAAAAAGTTAGCTTATGAGAGGTTTGTATGTGGGAATAAATTATGGAAGGCAGAGAAGAAAAGAGAGGTTAAAAGAGTGGTGAGGGAGTGCAGAAGGAAAATCAGTGAGATATTAAGTCACTCCTTATCAACAAATTTTGCTGAGAATAAGAAATAATTTTAGAGAGAGATTAATAAAGTGAGGAAGCCTCTGGAGCAAATGTGCCTGGCATTTAGAAATGAAAGAGATGTTGAATGGAGAGGCAGAGGTACTTGATAGATGAAGAGAATATTTTTAGTAGTTAAATATTGATGATGAAAGGAGGCATACTTAATTTCATGTGTTGAACAAGGAGGAATAACATCTCATATGAGTAAGGAGGAGCCAGAGGTGGAAGTGAGGAAAGTGTATGAGGCTTTGGGTAGAATGAAAGGAGAAGTAAAGCAGTTGGGATAGGAAGGATTAAGATGGAGATGTTAACAGTTGGTGGGAATATAGTGTTGGAGTGGTTAGTGTACTGTACTTGTTTAGGATATTAACCCTTTCAGGGTTTCGGCCGTACTAGTACGGCTTACGCACCAGGGTTTTTGACGTACTAGTACACCTACATTCTAGCACCCTCAAATCTAATGAGAGAAAGCTGGTAGGCCTACATATGAAAGAATGGGTCTATGTGGTCTGTGCGTGGTATTAAAAAAATCCTGCAGCACACAGTGCGTAATGAGAAAAAAAAAACTTTGACCGTGTTTTTGGATTAAAACAGTGACTTCGCACTGTATTTTCGTATGCTATTTATTGTTGTATTCTAGTTTTCCTGGTCTCATTTTATAGAATGGAAGACATATTACAGAAATTGAGATGATTTGACTGGTTATACAATGAAAAGTACCTTGAAATTGAGCTCAAAGTAGCAGAAATGTTCGATTTTTACCAAAGTTCAAAAGTAAACAAATCATGATATGCGTCCAATACACATCAACTGGTGAGTCTAATATTCTTTCACAAGTGTGCTGATATTATTTATACCATTTCTACACTAATGCAGTAGTCTGCATAACAATAAATCTTCTATTTTTTTGTGAGAATAAAAATTCAAAGTGGAAAGCAAAAGAATGTAAGAGGGGTGTGGGGATGTGACTAATGAACAGAGGAAATGTTATTTTAGTGCCAGGAATGTCTTTCTTGTTTATTCTGGACCCTATTCAGAAATTGGCATCTTTTGAAATTTGTGTGAAATTGGCAAAATTGATGAAATCTGATCACTGTATTGGATAGTTGAAATCGGTAAATGGGTGGTTTCTTGTACTCAGTCAATAGAAAAAATGGAGTTCTAGCAAAATATTTATGATTTTTGTCAACTAGTACAGTGGAATTGGCCGAAAATAGGGCTTAAAGTGGGCAAAATTGCCGATGCGTAAGCATTGTCGAGACCGCTAACTTCGCGAGAGCATAATCCGTAAGTTTTCCATCAAATTTCATACTTTTGGTGTCATTATGATTGGGAAAAGATTCTCTATCTTTTCACAAAAAAAAATAATTTTTTTTTTTAAATTTGGGTGACCCTGAGAACAAGTCTCTGAGAGGGCCTGTCGACCCTGAAAGGGTTAATAGAAGTATAAGGTGAAAAGGGAAAAGACAGAGTGGAGGAATTACAGAGGAATAGTGGTGCCAACACTTTAATATGTGTGTGAGGCATGGGCTTTGAATGTTGCAGCAAGAATGAGGCTAAAGGTAGCGGAGATGTTATGTTTGAGAGTAATATATGGTGTGAATATTGTGCCAAGGATTTGTAATGTAGAAATTATAAGATGGTGGGGATCACCAAGGGTATAATTTAGAGGGCTGAGGAGGGGTTGCTGAGGTGGTTTGGGCAATTAGAGAGAATGGAGAAGGTTAGGATGATGAAAGGAGTGTATTCATGTGGGGTGGAAGGTAGGAGAGGTAGGGGATCTGCCCAAGAATGGCTGGAAGGATGGGGTAAATGAGGCTTTTAGTTTTAGGGGTTTCAGTAGACTGTGAGAGCATTTTTAGATAGGAGTGAGTTGAGACATGTGGTTTTTAATGGACATGCTGTTGGAGTGCAAGCAAGGTAACATATGAAGGGATTCAGGAAAAATCAGTTAACCAGACTTAAGTTTTGGAGGCAGAAAGGGCAGTACCTGCACTCTGGAGGAGGGGTAAAGGTGTTGCAGTCAAAGGATAATCTGAATTGCAGTGTCAGCACAGTTTTGGCAGGAGAGCTATTGAATGAGTGATGGTGAATGTTTCTCTCTCTGGGTCACACTGCCTTGGTGGGGGATGGTATGTCATAAAAATAAAATAAAAATGTTGGGACTTCCATTGTTCACATGTCATTGTAATTAAACTATATGAGGTTGTGTGGATTGAAACTCCAGTTTATGGCTCCAACTCTTCAGTTTTTTTCCAGTTGACACTAAGTAGACTTCCATACATGAAGCCCACTTCTGCTGTTTCAGTGTTTCAAATTATTTCACTTATCACTTTTGCTAAATTAAAAGACTTCTGGTTATTCCTCTGTGTTATTTCAGTGTGCAAATTTCAACATACACTTTTTGTTCATTTTATCCCTAGTAAAAGTCTTATCCTTATTTAACTTGGTGTCATACACAAATAACCCGTTCCAGTCACGGTATTGTGCCTTTTTTTGTTATTATTTGGTGTCATCATTGTCATGATCATATCACTTATTTCTTCATCCTCTAGTGACATAAGGCCTAAGTAATTCTTTCGTTATTGCTTATTCTTTTTAACTCGAGTTTTGTTCTGTGCACCTGTAGATTAATATGGGTACTGCAGAAAAAAGTGTTGTAAATGTGTCTGTTGAAATTCTTCAATGGCATTCATATTTTTGTAAGTTTAGTCTGTTCTGCAGATGTTACAGTATTCTGCTTTTGTATACTACAGCAGACAGGTTCATGGTAATGGTTATTATTGGGTCCTTTTCCTTAACTGCCTTTGTGAGTTTATTTTTCCTTTCATGAGACTATGTACAGTTTCTATCTCTCATTTTTTACACATCGCCCAGCTTCATAACTTTGCTTTCTGTTGTTCACATGATTACCAGTTTATAGTATTACAGGAGCAGTGCTAATTGTGTAGTGCCCAATCTTTAGTATTTAATCTATCATATTTTTATTTTTAAATTTTCACTCCATTACTGCACTTATTTTGACTATGATCTTTACAGCATTCACAGACTTGACTCACGAAATCGTAATGACACGATTGCAAACAAACCATACCCCGGTCGGGATTGAACCTGCGGTCAGAGAGTCTCAAAACTCCAGCCCGTCGCGTTAGCGACGGGCTGGAGTTTTGAGACTCTCTGACCGCGGGTTCAATCCCGGCCGGGGTATGGTTTCACAGACTTATTCATTTAGGTTTTATAATCTTTTTGGGTGAGTTCTTTGTATAAACTGGAAGCGTAGTCAGGGCAAACACCATTCTTTGCAGTACCCTCATTGGTAACATTTCAAGTTGAAAATCTTTATTTCATTGTGGATAGCTTGTGATTTGTGAGTTTTCCTATATTCCTCATATGTTTTATAGTTTCTAAATTAGTCTTTTCTGGTGAAACTCTCATTAAAAGTTATATTTAAATCTGAAATACATAAAATCTGCCCAACCTATTTTTCTTGATTACTCTTTAACGACATAGCCGAAGATATTCTGTATACTGTACATGAATTTACCGAGCAGAAATTGAACTTTGACAGTGTATTTTTGTTCTACAAGTGTTTGATTTACATTTTCTCTAATAACTTTTTTACTGTAATTTTACAACAGTTCTTGTTGTAATAGCTTTTACTGTATTTTTACAAGAGAGCTTGTTGGGATAGATAGGAGCCACAGACTATTCTTGGTTATAGTTAGTGCGACTGTACATATATTACGTATGTACGGTATTGCATATTGGCTTGCAGAGTGAGTTGCTAATACCAAGGTAGAAAAACATTCCATTAACTTGGAATTGCTGTGTATTACACTTAAAATTGTAAGAAAGAGGAATTAAATCATTATGGTTTTGGTAATTGCATTGAAAGGAAATACAGTATTACATTTGTTATTAATTGACTAATGGTTTACAGAAGGTGTGATTGGTGATAACCCTGTAGAAGTTGATACTGGTGGGACAATGAGTGGTGGAAGTGTGCCTGGAGAGGATGACATCCGGTTGGATCGAAGAGAAATGAAAAGTGAACCAGGTGATTCCATGGCTGACGTGTACAGTGAATCGTCCGAAATGAGTACTGACCCACAATCACACACTGGCGAGGGTATGGATCCACGACAAGCTTTATTGTATCCTATAGGTTAGTGAGCATGTTAAGTTACTTTAAAGTGCAGTGGTAAATTTTTGCTAGCTAGCTGTAGCTTAAATTACTTTAAGGACCTCGGACAGATAATTCACATTATTTACATTTTTGTTATAGAATGATAGTGTTTGATGGTTTAAATACAACTCAGATACTTCAAATCAGTTGCCCCTTGATTTATTACCAGAGCATTTGGAACAGTGACAATTAAGAGCACTTGACTGACAGCAAGTGTTACTTGCACAATTAATGTATGAGTCGCGAAATCATAATGACATGGTTGAAAACCACTCGCCAAATGTTAGGTTCGAATGCATGGCAAGCCAAAACCCTTGATATTGTAGTATGTTAGGAACACATCCAACATGTATCAGCCATTCAGTGTTTGCTCAATTGTAATATTTACTGCTATCCTACAGTTTATTTCGAAGATACATCTTTTTTGGGTCACCCTGCCTAAGTGGGAAACTGAAGACGTGTTATAAAAATCCCAGAAAACACTTTAAGATATGATCTTGCAGAAACCAAGTCTAGTTTATGCCAATTACTCATATGCAGACGTTTATCAAATTGTCTGAATAGGAGCTCGTGTCTGTTTCTCTTAATTAGTGTAACTATTAAGTAATATGGGTAAGTGGAAAAGAATACAGTGGAACCTTGACTTGAGTTTAATCCGTTGCATGACCTAGCTCGTAACTCAATTTGCTCATATATCAAATAAATTTTCCTCATTTAAATTAATTGAAATACCAGTAATCTGTTCCAGCGGAATTCCTGCTCTCGGGAGGCAGGACAAAATACTTCAATATAACGATAATATCAACTCTACAGCTTATTTATCTATCACAGTTGATCTAATATGACATAATAAACAGTATAAATAACATAGAAACATGATATATACTCTAGAATGAATAAAATATGTCATGTGGTGGCGGCCATTCCCACTCTCGTTCTGACTATATCTTGCCATGCTCTTATTATAAGAGAAAATGGAGTGTTTGTGAGGGTAACTGCACTAGATCACTAGTTTCATAAGGAAAACACTGAAACAATGTATTTATAAATAAGAAATATTGTTTAAAATATAATAAAGCATAATAGAGAATGTAAAGAAATAAACTGGTTTTATAAAGTGTACATACGTATTTATCTTGGAGAAGACATGATGGCAGAGGTTGAGAGTGGAAAAGATAGGCAGAGTGGTGTATACTGTCAGTGGCCCTATAAACAATAATAACATTGGAAGAGTTTGTTTCGTTTCATCCTTTTTCTATCGCAAAATTGCTTAACTTACTTGCTACACTCTTAATGCTACACTTTATTGCTGAACTTACCTGCTACAATTTGGTTTTATTTTTTTTTCACTTCACTTTTCAATGATTTACTTGCTACACTCTTAATGCTATACTTTATCGCTGAATTTAATTTCTACAATTTTTTTTTTTTTTTTTTCATTTCACTTTTCACTGATTTTTGGCTTTTTCTCCACACTTTCTTCACTTTCATCTGCAGGGTGTTTCAATAAAAACCTGTCCAAGGAGATCTGTTTCATCCTCCCTTTCAGAATGTTTTGGAAATGGGTTAGGCAAGTGTCATTAAATAGCTCCAACATTGGACCAGTTGCAACTTTCTCTGAGTGTTTCCTTTCAATAAACTCTGAAAGTCTCGCAGGAGATACCATGATGGAGGATGCCCTCCATCATGGTATCTCCTGCGAACTATTTCTCTGTCAACCATGTCAACAGCAGCTTCTCCAGCTTTTCATGGACAGAGGTCCACAGCTTAAAAATTATTGTAACACCCTTGGCTGGTGCTATGGCCTTTATTGACTCCTTCTCCTTTAGTATCGTACATATGGTAGAAGTACTATGCTCGTACTGCCTGGCCAAGTCCACAACCCGTACACCTCACTTGTGTTTATCTATGATTTCATGCTTTAATTCCATGGACATCATCCTCTTTTTCTTCTCAGCACTGTCCTTTGCAATTACTTTCTTAGGAACCATGGTTAGAAAAAAGAAATTTGGCAAAATAACTGTACAAAACACAAGCAAAACGCAAGAAAAATGCTTCCACGGCGAGGTAAACACATGCACTGCTCAGCAGATGTTGTGGTGTTCACTGCACCAACTAGTGGCAGCGTTCTGAAGCTTGCTTGTCATTATTATTATTATTATTATTATTATTATTATTATTATTATTATTATTATTATTATTATTATTATTATTATTCTTTCTTTCTTTCAACACACCGGCCGTATCCCACTGAGGCGGGGTGGCCCAAAAGGAAAAACGAAAGTTTCTCCTTTTACATTTTGTAATATATACAGGAGAAGAGGTTACTAGCCCTTTGCTCCTGGCATTTTAGTTGCCTCTTACAACATGCATGGCTTACAGAGGAAGAATTCTGTTCCACTTCCCCATGGAGAATTATTATTATTATTATTATTATTATTATTATTATTATTATTATTATTATTATTATTATTATTATTATTAAAATGGAGAAGCACTAAACCCGTAGGATTATACAGCGCCTGTGGGGGAGGGGATGCAAGGTATTCAGGCTTAATTTAGGGAACTGAGCACAGATCCAATTCCCTAGATCAAGAGCCCCTCACCAGCATCAAGGAACCTCCCTTGATTGGGAAACTCACTAGTAACTCAGATTTTGGCTCGTAACTCAAAAAAGAAAGTCGATCGAGCAACGGCTTGTATCTCGAAAAACTCGTATGTTGGGGCACTTGTAAGTCGAGTTTCCACTGTACTTCCTCTGTAAGCCACGCATGTCATAAGAGGGTACTAAAATGCCGGGAGCAAGGAGCTAGTAACCCCTCTCCTGTAGAAATTACTAAATTTAAAAAGAAAAACTTTTGTTTTTCTTTTAGGTCACCCTGCCTTGATGGGGTGCAGTCGGTTCATTGAAAAAAATAAAAAAAACATCTTGTAGGAAGCTATTAAAATTTTTGTGAGATTATAAGACAACGTAAATTTCAATAGCTTTACTATGGAGTGAAAAAAAATCATATTAAACTCATTTCTAGGATTTCGAACAGTGCCACAGCATTAAAAGTGGCTGCCAGATAAGTGTTCAGATATCTTGCAAGAAGTGGATGATTAATGAATCCTAATTCTTGAGACTATAGGTATTGAAAATAAATTCTGTTATCTGAGAAAAGTTGTTTTAATCATGAGAGAGAGAGAGATATAGAGATATATATATAGAGAGATATAGAGATATATTTTTTTTTTTTTTCAACAAGTCGGCCGCCTCCCACCGAGGCAGGGTGACCCAAAAAAGAAAGAAAATCCCCAAAAGAAAATACTTTCATCATCATTCAACACTTTCGCCACACTCACACATTATCACTGTTTTTGCAGAGGTGCTCAGAATACAACAGTTTAGAAGCATATACGTATAAAGATACACAACATATCCCTCCAAACTGCCAATATCCCAAACCCCTCCTTTAAAGTGCAGGCATTGTACTTCCCATTTCCAGGACTCAAGTCCGACTATATGAAAATAACCGGTTTCCCTGAATCCCTTCACTAAATATTACCCTGCTCACACTCCAACAGATCGTCAGGTCCCAAGTATCATTCGTCTCCATTCACTCCTATCTAACACGCTCATGCACGCTTGCTGGAAATCCAAGCCCCTAGCCCACAAAACCTCCTTTACCCCCTCTTTCCAACCCTTTTGAGGACGACCCCTATCCCTCCTTCCTTCCCCTATAGATTTATATGCTTTCCATGTCATTTTACTTTGATCCATTCTCTCTAAATGACCAAACCACCTCAACAACCCCTCTTCTGCCCTCTGACTAATGCTTTTATTAACTCCACACCTTCTCCTAATTTCCACACTCCGAATTTTCTGCATAATATTTACACCACACATTGCCCTTAGACAGGACATCTCCACTGCCTCCAACCGTCTCCTCGCTGCTGCATTTACCACCCAAGCTTCACATCCATATAAGAGTGTTGGTACTACTATACTTTCATACATTCCCTTCTTTGCCTCCATCAATAAAGTTTTTTGACTCCACATATACTCAACGTACCACTCACCTTTTTTCCCTCATCAATTCTATGATTAACCTCATCCTTCATAAATCCATCTGCCGACACGTCAACTCCCAAGTATCTGAAAACATTCACTTCTTCCATACTCCTCCTCCCCAATTTGATATCCAATTTTTCTTTATCTAAATCATTTGATACCCTCATCACCTTACTCTTTTCTATGTTCACTTTCAACTTTCTACCTTTACACACATTCTCAAACTTATCCACTAACCTTTGCAATTTTTCTTTAGAATCTCCCATAAGCACAGTATCATCAGCAAAAAGTAACTGTGTCAATTCCCATTTTGAATTTGATTCCCCATAATTTAATCCCACCCCTCTCCCAAACACCCTAGCATTTACTTCTTTTACATCCCCATCTATAAATATATTAAACAACCATGGTGACATTACACATCCCTGTCTAAGACCTACTTTTACCGGGAAGTATTCTCCCTCTCTTCTACACACCCTAACCTGAGCCTCACTATCCTCATAAAAGCTCTTTACAGCATTTAGTAACTTACCACCTATTCCATATACTTGTAACATCTGCCACATTGCTCCTATCCACTCTATCATATGCCTTTTCTAAATCCATAAATGCAATAAAAACTTCCCTACCTTTATCTAAATACTGTTCACATATATGCTTCAATGTAAACACTTGATCTACACATCCCCTACCCACTCTGAAGCCTCCCTGCTCATCCGCAATCCTACATTCTGTCTTACCTCTAATTCTTTCAATTATAACCCTACCGTATACTTTTCCTGGTATACTCAGTAAACTTATTCCTCTATAATTTTTACAATCTCTTTTGTCCCCTTTCCCTTTATATAAAGGGACTATACATGCTCTCTGCCAATCTCTAGGTACCTTCCCCTCTTTCATACATTTATTAAACAAAAGTACCAAC